CCAAGCCAAATGACTGAACTGCAAAATTAGAAAGGACAGATCTTCAAATTTCAGTAGAGTAGTTCCTTGGTTTTATAGTCTATTGTCTAGTATTGCTGTACCTACTAACTAGGCAGTTAAGCAGTGAGAAGTCAAAGGAAGTGTCCCTCATCTCCTGTGTCAGGAGTCTGTTTTTCTCCAACTTGTGAGTCTTCACCCAGTTTCCAAGAAGATACATTGTAGAGAAAATAGGGAGGTTGTTTAAAAACCTTTGTGTAATTGGGGCACCTGATGGCTTAGCTGGTTAAGCATCAAACTTTGGCTCAGGTCATGATCTCATGGTTTGTGGGTTTGAGCCCTGTGTCGGGCTCTGTGCTGACAGCTCAGAGCCTGGAGCCTGCTTTGGATTCTGTGTCTCCCTCTCTCTCTCTGCCCCTCTCCTGCTCATGCTCGCTCCCTCCCTCTCTCTCAAAAATAAAATATAAAAACTTAAAAAAAATAAAATTAGGTATATCTTTATAGTGCTGAAGACACAAAGGAAATTTTGGATATCACCAAGTTACCTAAGGAAACAAAATTTGGTCTTATGTGGATTGTTGGGAGTTTTTTTGGTAGCCTCTTGTTCCCTCACATATTCTGAAAAATTTCAAACATACAGAAAAGCTGAAGGAAATGCACAGTGAATACCTCTGCATACGGACCGCCTCAATTTTATAATTAACATTTAGCTATATTTGTTTAATCACTATCTGTTGGAAACGTTTTGGTAGTGTGTTTAAGCCATTCCCTTTGTCTGTGGAAGAACAGAGAGGAGTAAGACCCTACTGGGCACAGTTACTTGTGTGCTGTGGGACTCGGACGCTCTCTGATGCAGCGTTCTTAGGGAGAGGATTCTCTTCTTGTGAATCAAACATCAGCATCGGTTGAGAGCCAGTCATTTATTTTCAAATGAATTCCAGCTGGATTATGTTATAATGTTTTTTTAATGTTTATTTATTTTTGAGAGAGAGCTCAAGTGGGGCAGGGGCAGAGAGGGAGACAGTAGGCTTTGCGCTGACAGCAGTGAGCCTGATGCAGGGCTTGAACTCGAGAACTGTGAGATCATGACCTGAACCGAAGTCAGACACTCACCCGCTGAGCCATCCAGGTACCCCTAGATTATTATAAAGACAGAAGAAAGGCCCAGGGAAATTGGTGGTGGAAAGGGTTATGTCATCAGGAGGCCACCATGCTACTAACCTGTTTACCCAACTGACATAAATACGATCATATCGATAGCTATCATTTATTGAGTGGTTACCATGCGCTAAGGCTTTGTTGCATTTTAGTTCTCTGTTGGCTGTAGGTATTATTAATGCCGTTTTATGAATTAGGGAACTGAGGTTTAGTGAAATTGAATAACTTACCTAATTCCTCATCTGTTAAATGCCACAAATGGTACTCAGGCCCAAGTCTGACTCTAAAACCTGGGCTGTGGACCAGAAGCCTCCTGCTGAAAGTTCCCTTTACTGCAGAATATATAGTTTACATTCATTTATGTCTTTACAATTGTCCAAATTGGGCCACACTTAATTTGAACTTGGTTATAGTGACATTCTCATGGAAAAGAGGATATCATATAAACGTTTTTATGATTGTAAAGGCCTCTTATTTCTTGAGGAAGGAGGGCCCTTTTTGAAATTAGCTGTCTAACAGTTTTTACTAACCTCATTTCATTCTCTGAAGAATGAAGGCATTTCCAGCCTTGTATTAAATTGTGGAATGTGTAGCATTCCTTCTATAGTTGAACCAAATAAACATTAGCAAGTGTGTTTAGAATGTGAGACTGGTAGTTCGTTCCTGTCTTTATTTTTTTATTTAGTTTTAAAGAGGTTTTTGGGATGATAGCCAATTTGAAGCTTGGTCTTTCTGATAAAGAAGTGAAAATAAGCAAGCTCCCTGGCTCTTGGAGTAAGTAAGCCTTACTTCAGTTTCTTTGATGACTTTGGGGGCTTGTTCTTATGAGTGACCCCAGGAAGTGTATTCTAACTTGAAAACTGAACGGGTGGAAGAAGTGTGTATTGAGAGCAGTAGTTCTTAACCTTTCTGGAGGTCACGTTGCTCCCTTTTGAAGCCTATGGAAACTGTGGACCCTTTCCTCTGGAAAAAATGCATATATGCACACAAATACAGTTTTACATACAAATGGTGTAGGTGTTCACTGACCCCTAAAGTCTATTGACAGCTGTACCCCAGGTTAAAGATCCTTTAAGGGAAAAAAATGAGGGAGCTGAAAAATAAGATTTGAGCATAGTTGTTAAGCGTGTTTTTCATAAATGTGCATCTCATAGGTTGATTTTACTAACATAAAAATCTTGTTTTAGTACCTAAGATGTTTTATTCAGTCTCTAAAGTACGAGTTTTTCCCACTTTGTTAAAAAAAAATTAAGGATGGGGCACCTGGGTGGCTCAGTTGGTTAAGTGGCTCAGATCAAGGTGTGCTCCATGAGTTCAAGCCCCACATCGGGCTCCGTGCTGTCTGTGCAGAACGTGCTTGAGACTCCCTCTCTCTCTGCCCCTCCATACATGCACACTCTCCCCCTCTCTCAAAATAAACTTAAAAAACAAAATAACAATAAAAATTAAGATTGTTCATAAGTAAGCTAAGACTCCTAGGGGTAAATGAGGCTTTCTGTTGATTTCTGACTTTTGCTTTTGCAATTTTATTTTTCTTCTACCTGCAAAACGTTTTCTCAGAACTACTAATAAGGCTAAGATTTAGATGAAATCCTTTGGTAATCCTCAACTTTAGGTTTCCATTTCTTCTTCAACCAGATTTTCTTTGTAACCAACATCTACACAGTACTCTCTTACACCTTTTGACACGAGTGTTCAGGTATCGTTCCTAGCAGGTTACATGTTTCATTACATTAATCCTCACAATAACCTTGTTCGGGACTTATTATTGTCCCCACTTTATAGAGGCAGAAAACAATGCCAAGAAAGGTTAAATGACTTAGTTAAGACCAGTGCCAGTACTACAGGCAGAGCCAGGATTTGAACCCCTGTAGATCTAGCTTCAATGCCTGTTTTCTCTGTTTTGCCATCTTGCTCTGGGATCAGAGTTGGTCATTTTTTCCTGATTACTAGTTTGACCTGATTCAGATTTTAAAAGCCCCAGTTCCCATCAGTGGTAAGGGTGCTTTTATTTTCTTCTATGTAGCCAATCGTGAAATTATTGAATTTCTTTGTGTATAAGTTAGACTTCAGGTTGTGAAATGTCTAGCGTGCTGATTTACTGACTAGATTGTTAAACCCAGAAGGAAGGAGCCTTAGCTGGAAGATCTGCCTTTTCTGTTTATGTAAATGGATGTTTCAGATACCAGTCTGACAGCGAGGATTCCAGGGACTGAAACATTTGTGGAAGGCTTGTTACCAAACTTAGCATCATTTTCAGGAAGGAAAAATCCTAATGGTTTAGAACTGAAAAAGAGCTTAACTCTGAAGGGTAGATAAGCTTGTATCAAATTGACTGAAGGCCAGGTGTGTGTTTCTTAAGCCTCCTGGGAGAGCCGTGGAGGGAGCCTTTGGTCAGCGAGCTGCCTCATGGTTTTTGCTGAGACAGCAGGCGCGGCCAGCATTATGGGAAGGTAGTTCAGTTTGCCCAGTGAGTTTTGTGAGGCTCAGCATCTTCCTTGACAAAATTATTGTTCTTCCAAACCTTGTACTTTTCCTAGTTGCAGCTCTGGTATGTACGGTGAAACGGGGAGCAGAATGAGTAGTTTGTAAAGAATGTGTAACTTTAGATGTACATTTTTTTAGTTTGAACTGATTATACAGAATTTTGAGATAGCACAGAAAGAAGATAGAGTGTTGAGAGATTAATGGACATGATTGGGAGGACAAAGGAAGTTGGTTAAGAGCATGAAAAATTTAGATGATCTCCTTGCCTTTTTTTATGTTTATTTTTTTTTATTTTTTTTTATTTTTTTTTTTTTTTACCTTGAGAGAGAGAGTGAGCAGGGGAGGGGCAGAGAGACAGGGAGAGAGAGTCCCAGGAAGGTTCCATGCTGGCAGTGCAGAGCCCGACATGGGGCTCCATCTCATGAACCGTGAGATCATGACCTGAGCTGGAATCCATAGTTGGACACTTAAACGACCGAGCCACCCAGGCACCCCATCTCCTTGCCTTTTTAAAAACAAAGTGGTAGGGGCGCCTGGGTGGCTTAGTCGGTTGAGCATCCGACTTTCGCTTAGGTCATGGTCTCGCGGTTCGTGGGTTCGAGCCCCGCGTCAGGCTCTGTGCTGACTGCCAGCACAGAGCCTGGAGCCTGTTTCAGTCTGTGACTCCCTCTCTCTGACCCTCCGCTGCTCACGCTGTCTCTCTCTCTCTCTCCTAGAAATAAATAAAACATTAAAAAAAAAACAAAAAAAAAGTGGTAGAAGAAACTAGAGTGTACAGAGATCTATACCATTTAACTCTCAAGCTGGTGAAACACAGTATAAAGGAAAATTAAGTTGACTGATTTGAAGATAAGGGGTGAAATCAGATTTACATATACATATTATCCTAAGTCATCGTTTCGAGTCTTTACAAATTGAAGGAATATATTTTGTAAAAAACTTCTGATAACGGAAATTTCAGAAGGTTTAAGAAGGATTAAGTACAGTTCAAATGGCAGGATTGTTCAAAGCTCCGTTGACTGTATAGTGTACGTGCTTGGTTAGGATGCGGAAATTAGCTTTGTCTCCTCCCCAGTTTCGCCCTCTTTGCCACGTGTTTCCTTGAGGCTGAGTCTGGGCTCCCAGCCCAGAGGAGGGGCAGATCCTCTCAGGTGCTTCCATTTTGCTCCCTGCCGTAAGTTCACAAACAGTGTTTCACATTATGATCTATAAACATATAAACAGACTTCCTGGAGCCAAAATAACTTTGTTTTTATGGTTCATACTGCATGACCCTGGAGCGGGGCAGGAGGGTGGAGATGCAAGGTGTGTGGACCCTTCTCGTTTATGGGATTGTCTTTTTCCCTTTTTCCCCTTAGGAACGGCGTGAATGTTGAGGGGGCGACACACAAGCAGGTGGTGGACCTGATCCGAGCAGGCGAGAAGGAGTTGATCTTGACAGTGTTATCTGTGCCTCCACATGAGGCAGATAACCTAGATCCCAGTGACGACTCGTTGGGACAATCGTTTTATGATTACACAGAAAAGCAAGCAGTGCCCATATCGGTCCCCACATACAAACATGTGGAGCAGAATGGTGAGAAGTTTGTGGTGAGTGTCGGCCCAACTCAATCCTCAAAACATCTAGCTTTTGTTCCCCCCAATCTTACCATTTATGATTTGTACTAGAGCATAAGAGGTAATCACTGCAACCTAGGTCAGTTTGTCTGCCAGGAAGATGGGTTCACACATAAATAAAAGACACTGACCGTGATTGTTTTGCAGGAGGTGAACTACAGTAATGAAGATTTCTGTTTCTGCTTAAGTGTAATTCTGTTTTATTTCCAGACAGTTTTAAATTTGTATTCCGGTCTGTTGTAAACACTTGTGAGTCGGTTTTGTTTGTTCTCTAATTAGTTTCCATATTTCTCTGCTACTAGCAGCCTCTCAGTTACAATCAACTCTGTTGAGCTCTAGAGCAAGATTAATTTTAAAAGGTGGTGTCTTCCAAAACATTTGGGTGATACAGGGTTTGTCCACATCGGAACCTGCAGCCGCCCTGCCCTCCTCCTCTCCACACCTTGTTCTTTTTCCTTTTCTTTTTCCTTTTTCTCTTTCTTTTTCTTTTTCTTTTCCTTTTCCTTTTCCTTTTCCTTTTCCTTTTCCTTTGGAGATATCTGTGTGAATGATTAACGTGGGGTTTTCCCCAGGTCCTAATCCTCCTCTGAATATAGTACACATGAACTGCTCTGTCCCATTTCCAGTTGGTTGCAATTGTAGATGAGTGGGAAAGCCCACCTTGAGCTCTGGGTGCTGCCCCTTTTCTGAGTGCCTTTGCTTGTTCCTCAAAACCCAGTTGCTGCTGATAGGCCGGCCTCCTCACTTTTTCTCTTACTGAGGTATGCTTTATTTGCCTTTGATTATGTGGGGAGTGTTGATCTAATGAGAAATTGATTATTCTTTGTAGAAAGTGCAGTGACTTCTGGTAGACTTGGCAGACAGACTTCATGTGTTTCCAGCTGGGAACTGCTGACTCAAGTTGCAGTCTCTGAAATAGTTTTGTGCCCCGTATAGGAATGAGCTGCAGGACACTTGTGGTAAATTTGTTTAGTGAGGAGATGAGAAAAGCAAGCAAGGAAGCCAGAAAGGTTCAGAAGGATCAGACAGTGTTTGACTGCATCCGTAATTTAGCTGGTGATGAGAGCACAGAGCGCAGGTTCGGTTGGCCTGATCTGTGGAATCGCAGAGCCATATACACAGAGTTTAAAGTTTTGTGTTTCAGAGGTGCTGTACGTTGAATCATAAGGCATGTAAAAAAGTAGAAATCAAGATCAGGTCCTAAAATTAGAGCAGAATGGGTGTTGAGACCTTTAGGGAATTACCTGAGACCTTGAGAACCTTTGTAGACTTTAGAAAAGGAATGAAACTAATTGTCCCTTTTAAGAAAATCAACTTTATTGGGCATAATTTACCTGCATTAACATTCACCCACGTTAAATGTCCAGTTTCATGAGTTTGGATAAATGTACATAGTTTGATAATCACCACCATCACAAGGTAGAGGAACGCTTTCACCATGCCAGAAAGTTCCCTTGTGACCTTTTGCAGTCAGTCCTTTCCCCATAGCACACTCCCTGGTGACCACCGATCATCTTTCTGGTACTCCATTTTGCCGTTTCTAGAATGTCAGATGAACGAATCATATAAGTAGTTTTTTGTGTCTGGCTTTGTTCACTTAGTGTAGTGCTTTTAAGATTTCTGCATGTTGTTGTATATGCCAGTAGTTCTTTTAATTGCATTTACTTTTTAATTTGGATAAATTTATTGCAATTTGTTTATCCAGTGACTTGTTGATGCACGTTTGGGTTGCTTCCATTTTGGACTAAATGACTAACGCTGCCATGAAGTAACGTTAATGTCCAGGACCTCATGGAGATACATGTTTTCATTTCTCTTGAGTAGCTAGAAGTGGAATTGTAGGGCCATGTGGTAAAAGTTTAACCTTGTAAATAATTGTCAAACTGTTTTCCAAAGAGGATGTACTGTTTTTGCATTCTCATCCGTGGGGAGTTCCAGTTGCTCCATAATCTCCCCAGCACTTGTTCTTATCGGTTTTTAAAATTTCAGGCATTCTAGGGGGTATCTCCGTCTGGTTTTAATTGCATTTGCCTAATGACTCATGATGATAACTTTATTTTCATGTATTTAGTGGCTAGTCTTATATTTTTACTGGTGAAGAGTTCAATGTTTTTTCCCATTTTAAAACCTGGATTGTCTTATTTTGTTGTTAATATTCTTTATGTATTTGGAATCCTTTATCAGATAGATATTTTGTGAAATATTTCTCCCAGGCTGTGGCTTGCCTTTTTATTTTATTTTTAACAGTGTCTTTCAAAGAATAGAAGTTCTAAATTTTGATGAAGTCCAGTTTGTTTTTTTCTTTAAAAAAATTTTTTTAATGTTTTATTTATTTTTGAGAGAGAGATAGAGACAGCGTGAGCAGGTGAGAGTCAGAGAGAGAGGGAGATACAGAATCCGAAGACAGGCTCCAGGCTCTGAGCTAGCTGTCAGCACAGAGCCCGACGCGGGGCTCGAACCCACGAACTGTGAGATCATGATCTGAGCCGAAGTCAGACGTTAACCAACTGAGCCACCCAGGCGCCCTTTTCTATTTTTTTCATTTACGGATCATGTTGTGAGAAATCTGCCTAACCCAAGGATACAGATCTTTTATGTTTCCTTGAAAAAGCTTTATAGTTTTAGCTCTCTGTTTTTGTAGTAACTTTATTGAGGTATGATTCACATACCTTAGTTGTACACCTTCAGTGTATGTAATTCAGTGGTTCCAGTATGATCACAGAGCAGTGCAGCCGTCACAATTCTGGAACGTTTTCCTCACCTCAGAAAGAAACCCTCTACCTTTTAGCTACCATCCTCCAAACCTCCCATCTGCTCTGTTTTCTGGCTCTCTGGATTTGCCTCTTCTGGACATTCCATGTAAATGAAATCAGATGTATTCTCAGGGTTTATCCATGTTGTAGCGTGTATCAGCCAAATAACGTTCCATTGTCTGGATATGCCACAGTTAATTTATCTGTTCTTCAGTTGAGAGACATTTGGGTTATTTCTACTTTTTGGTTGTTATGAATAATGCTGTTTCAAGCATGTATGTATAGTTTTTGATGTGGATATGTGTTTTCATTTCTCTTGGATGTTACGTAGAAGTGGAATTACTGGATCGTATGGTAACTCTTATGTTTAACCTTTTGAGGAAATGCCAGACTTTGCTCCACCAGACTTTGCTCCAAAGTGACTGCCTCATAGTTTTCACTCTTCTGTTCAGGTCTGGGACCCATTCCGAGTTGATTCTTGTATCAATACTGTGTGATATAAGGGTCAAGATTTCCCCCCTCCCCGCCATTTGCATATATAGCAGCAGCCTGTGTTGAAAAGGAGTATCTTTTCCTCATTGAAATACTTTGGCTTTATTGTTGAAAATCAGTTGAACATGTATGTGTGGTTTGATTTCTGTATTCTGTTGGTTATGTCTGAACATTTCAATGTTTTTGTTATTTTGAGATTGTCCTCTATTGAGTGTCTTTTCCCTTGAAAACGGGTCATATCCTCCTGATTCTTTGTACAGTGAGTGATTTTGGATTGTATCCTGGGTATTGTGAATGTTGCATTGTCTTGGCCCTGAGTTCTGTGATATTCTTCTGAGGAATGTTGATGTTTTGTTTTATCCAGCAGTTAACTGTAGGCTGTGCTACCTGTGGGTCGTACTTCATGTTTCAGTTCAATTCTTTCAGCCTTTCTGTACTGCTCTGAGTCTGTTCTATATGTGTATCATTCAAGGAGAGACCAGTATGAGATACTTGGTGTTCATTCACAAAATTAAGGCATCCTTTTCTTTGTTTCTCCCCTCTGGAATTCTCTACTCATTCTAGTGGTGGCCATGGTTGCCAAGAATCTTTTCTCTCTTTCCTCCAGGCAGGAAGATGTCAGGGTTTCTATTGGGGTTTTTAGTTGCCTAAGTTAGGCTACTTTGTGACTTACTCCCACTCTCTGGTCCCTAAAAGCAGGACACCTATCCCCAAGCTCCCACCCCCTGCCATGATGTGCTCCGTGTTTTAATGTCCCCGTGCAATCTGCCTGCATTTAATGTAGTATTCAGAAGTCTCAGGGAATTGATTTTTGCATTTGGTCCAGAGTTTGTAGTTGTTATCAGAGGAAAGGGTGGTCTGTAGGAGAATCTTCAGTTCTATCAGTTTTTTAAATATATAATGAAGCTGTTGCTTTCTTGATGAATTGGCCCCTTCAATGTTATGAAATGTCTCTATTTTTTTTTAATTTTTTAAAAATGTTTTTTATTTATTTCTGAGAGAGAGTGAGAGAGAGAATGTGTGTGAACAAGGGAGGGTCAGAGAGAGAGGGAGATATGGAATCTGAAACAGGCTCCAGGCTCTGAGCTGGCTGTCAGCGCAAAGCCTTACGCGGGGCTCGAACCCACGAACCGTGAGATCATGACCTGAGCTAAAGTCGGATGCTTAACCAACTGAGCCACCCAGGTGCCCCAGTGTTGTGAAATATCTCTTTATCCCTTGTAATATTCTTCCTTCTGAAGTCTTCCTTTGATAGTAACATATGGCCACTAGTAACCACTTCAGCTTTCTTTTGATTATTGTTTTCATTGGATATCTTTATCATCCTTTTTTTTTTTTTTTTAATATTTTTATTTATTTCTAGGAGAGAGAGAGAGACAGCGTGAGCAGGGGAGGGTCAGAGAGAGAGGGAGATACAGACTCTGAAATAGGCTCCAGGCTTTGAGCTGGCAGTCAGCACAGAGCCCGACGCGGGGCTCAAACCCACGAACCGCGAGATCATGACCTAAGTGAGAGTCGGGCGCTTAACCGACTAAGCCACCCAGGCGCCCCCATCCTTTTATTTTTAACTTATCTATATAGCCGTGCTTAAGGTAAGTCTTACAGACAGCATATACTTGTGTCTTGCTTTTTTATTTGGCAACCTTGGTCGTTTATTTGGAGTGTGTAGTCTACTTACATTTCATATAATTATTGATATAGTTAGTTTAAATCTACCATCTTATTCTT